AATAATAAATAAAAATTGTGCAAATAATTCCTAAAGAAATAGAATTGTACTTATAATAATAACAATAATAAATAAAAATTGTGCAAATAATTCCTAAGAAAACAGAATCGTACGAATAATAGGAACAATGATAAATAAAAGAGTAAATAAAAATTGTACAAATAATTTCTAAGAAACCAGTCGAAACTGAAGAACCAAATACGCGTAAACCCAATTCCATTTTCTCCCGCAAAACCTTAACCCCCCCCCGTATTAAATCGGATCCCGAACTTTAAAACAGTCCTACGCCATATCAAATACTTACATAGCCATTGCCTAACGCGCTATCTCGAGACACGGGACGCACCGAATCCGAAGCCACGCGATTCGATTACGCGGAATCACCAAAAATAGGCAAGGGCACCGTGGCGCCCGGAACCCCGGCGGAAGAACCGGCTTCTGAACGTTTGCGCCGTCCGAACACTCGTTTAATTTCCGTTCAATTTTCTAACCCTGTTAAAGCTTAACCGTGTGCCGCAGGAATACCGCGTTACGCGAAAGTTATCCAATAACCCGAAAGTTGCGACCATTGTTCGATCTCTTGCAGCGGCCGCACTTGGACCCTGCGGCGTGAGGAACGCCCGGGCCATCCCCGACAGTCATCCGCCGCGACCCACCAGGCTTGCATCTATTAGCACGGCACGAAACTTTCGCGATAGGGGTAGCTGGGAGCCCCGAGAATCGTTCCTAATCCGTCGATCTTCGACCCCGACGACCGTTCGTCGCCAGTTCCGAGGGACCCGTTCCGAGACCCATCTCTCTCAACCCTCCCCATCCGTGCTGTCCGGCCTGTGTTCCACGTTCCGCCATCCTGTCCATCCATTTCCTGTCTGTGCGCTAGCGGCTAGCGCGCGCAGGCTCGGCCGTCAGGATCGGTGTATCAGATTTCCGATGGTCGTGGCATACGTACTCGGCCGAAGGTAGATTAGATTTTAATAATGCAATTTGGGTTTACGGCGGTACGTAGCGAACGAAGGAAGGAAGCAAGGGGGAGGGACGGAGGAGGGGAGGGCAGGGTTTGCTCTGGTCCGACTGTAAAACGAGCCGGTTTTCGCCCGGAGGAGGCAAACCAGCCCCAGACTACGGACTGGTAATTGTTGGAATTTGATTGGGCCTGCCTCGACGCAACCAGCAACTGCGGCAACCGTCTCTCTCTCTCTCTCTCTCTCTCTCTCTCTCGTCGGCACTGTTGGCATCAACTATGAGTTGAAATGTCCCCAGGCTGTTCGCGGAGCTGCGTGCGAATGCGAATTTCAGGGCTTTTCGGCGAAATTGATAATAGAGCTCAGGGCTCGAACAGAGGGTGGATCGAGCGGGGTGGAAAGTCGCGGTGGTTCGTGGAAACGGGATGAAACGCAACGGAGATCTGTCGTTGTCGGATGGCCCACGCGGAAATCGCGGATGGAAAGTCGGTCATGGGAGAGAGGGCACCAGAGTCACGGTGGTTTTGGGAAAACTCGTTTTGCTTTTTGCTGCGCTCGGTTTTCGACGATCAATCGGTTTAGTGGCGGGGATTGCGAATCTTCGATTTTGGTTTTTCGTTGTTTCGGGTTTGCGCGAAGATCGATGCTTGCGTTGGGGACCGTGCGAACGTATCAAAGCGATATGTGTGTCATAGCGTACCAGCTATGTGTGTCATACTGCGATGATGTGTACAGGATGAATTGCATAATAGAGAGAAATTAACTAGAGAATATAGACGTGTCACGAGATAAAATAAGTAGACGTAGTAAAATATTTTCTAGAATATTAGTATTTTCTATAAAATATTATTACACATTGCGCGAAGATCGATTCTTACGTTGGGAGACGGTGCGAAAGTATCAAAGCGATATACCGACATCTATTTGTATCATAATAAGATGATGTGTACAGGATGAATTACGTAATCGAGATAAATGAACCCTTTGCACTCGAGAGGCGCCTTTCAGTCGCCATTTGATAAAATTTCGAAGCTCGGTATTAATTAATATGTCAAATTTAAAGTAATATAACAGTGTGCGAGGTATCGAAATTAAATAATTCTACGAGTTAGTTATTATACGATTTCATATTTACTGCTCAGAAAATATCATCAGCCTTGTAGCAGAAAATTTGTCAACTCGTACCCTTCTTTAGCAACAAAATCGTCGAACTTAAAGGGTTAACCAAAGAATAAAGATGCACGTGTCACGAGATAAAATAAGTAAACGTAGTAAAATATTTTCTAGAATATTAGTATTTTCTATAAGATATTATTATACAATATTATTTTCTATGAAATATTTGATATAACAAATTATTCTATAGTTTCGATATAATTTTATGCATTTTTATCCGCAGCAGGAGTTAAAATTGCATATTTATTTAAACGATCCCCCACAATTTAAACTCCATTCAATGCAACTTTTTAATCTCTACGAAAGGTATTAAGACACTTACACCGAGTATACGGCTTACTTCGATGTGCAGACCGCTGCACGTAATATCCATTACAATTTGTAAATTCGCGGAGGGATGGTAGTTGCATTAAGAATAAAGTAAAATAGAGCGCAAAGTGCTAACAACTGCGCCGCAAATAATCGTATTACCGCGTGAAAAAAGGAATAATTAAACAAACGTTCTACCAATTTCGATGGAAAGTTTACTTAATTTCGCATCAGTTGGACCCACAGCTCTGTACGATACCATATAACGTAAATCTGTACTGCATTAAATTAATCACGGAAAATAATAGAAACAAGCACTCCGTGAAAAAGAGTAAAAAATCGCGAATTAATTTAAGTTTCCTCGAATCCTATAATAATATAATTCATAACACTGTGCTAGGACCTCTAGTCCCACGAGACCTAGAACAATATAAAACCGTATATTTCGTTAAATTATTCGCGAAAGAGAAGAACTCGCGTGACAAATACAACGAAACCGTGTGCACGTACAAGCAGGTAAAAATTTTGGTATTAATTAAACAAACATTTGGCGAATGGCGGGAATGGAAGGGAAAACAGGGGAAACAAGCGCGAAAGCATGCGTCTCTGTCAGAGCCGACGAAGCGAGGCCGATGGAAAAACGGAATATCAGCGGGTACACGTTATACCATTTCCATTAAACCATTATCGACGTCCAAATAATGTCGCTTTCACGCCTCTGATTTTAGACGAAGCGTCGACGGAATTAGCCGATATGATTCGGGGTCCCGGGCACGGAATTAAATCGCGTTCCGCGGGATTTAGCGACGCGAGTCGCACATCCACTCGTGAACTTGATCTCGTTATTATGAACCGGGTGCCGCGTAATATGATCGACGGCCAGGCGGAATCGCCGCGCCCGCTTCCGGCGATGGGTGTTTGATTTATGCGACACGGCCGAAATTTCAAATCCCGCGTGTTACGTTCCAGCCGCCGCACAGTTTACGATCATCGCGTGCGTACTTCGTATTTTGCATTTCGTATTTCTCCGCTTCCATTTATTTCATTCCGCTCCTCCGTCCGGCCGTGCCCTCGCGCGCCACCGCGCGGCCCCCGCCGGCCCCCCTCCCGCGCCCTTAACGAGAGGTCCGCCGTTAAATTACGCTGAATTATTAAAATATGATAATCTCTGGCAAATTGCGAGGCCAGATGAACC